CGAGCACATGGTCGTGATTATGTTTTTTTTTTTTTTTAAAAGCTATATTCTTCTCTCAAATTCACCTCACACTACCTACCTACCTACGACTATATAGAGGGGACCCCTGCAAGCATAGGGCCTCGCAAACGAGGTAATTCATGTTGCCCCTCGGGGGTTATGGTTTTGAATTATTCCGAAATGTTTTTTGGAAAAAAAAATAAAAAAATTCGAGCACATGGTCGTGATTATGTTTTTTTTTTTTTTTAAAAGCTATATTCTTCTCTCAAATTCACCTCACACTACCTACCTACCTACGACTATATAGAGGGGACCCCTGCAAGCATAGGGCCTCGCAAACGAGGTAATTCATGTTGCCCCTCGGGGGTTATGGTTTTGAATTATTCCGAAATGTTTTTTGGAAAAAAAAATAAAAAAATTCGAGCACATGGTCGTGATTATGTTTTTTTTTTTTTTTAAAAGCTATATTCTTCTCTCAAATTCACCTCACACTACCTACCTACCTACGACTATATAGAGGGGACCCCTGCAAGCATAGGGCCTCGCAAACGAGGTAATTCATGTTGCCCCTCGGGGGTTATGGTTTTGAATTATTCCGAAATGTTTTTTGGAAAAAAAAATAAAAAAATTCGAGCACATGGTCGTGATTATGTTTTTTTTTTTTTTTAAAAGCTATATTCTTCTCTCAAATTCACCTCACACTACCTACCTACCTACGACTATATAGAGGGGACCCCTGCAAGCATAGGGCCTCGCAAACGAGGTAATTCATGTTGCCCCTCGGGGGTTATGGTTTTGAATTATTCCGAAATGTTTTTTGGAAAAAAAAATAAAAAAATTCGAGCACATGGTCGTGATTATGTTTTTTTTTTTTTTTAAAAGCTATATTCTTCTCTCAAATTCACCTCACACTACCTACCTACCTACGACTATATAGAGGGGACCCCTGCAAGCATAGGGCCTCGCAAACGAGGTAATTCATGTTGCCCCTCGGGGGTTATGGTTTTGAATTATTCCGAAATGTTTTTTGGAAAAAAAAATAAAAAAATTCGAGCACATGGTCGTGATTATGTTTTTTTTTTTTTTTAAAAGCTATATTCTTCTCTCAAATTCACCTCACACTACCTACCTACCTACGACTATATAGAGGGGACCCCTGCAAGCATAGGGCCTCGCAAACGAGGTAATTCATGTTGCCCCTCGGGGGTTATGGTTTTGAATTATTCCGAAATGTTTTTTGGAAAAAAAAATAAAAAAATTCGAGCACATGGTCGTGATTATGTTTTTTTTTTTTTTTAAAAGCTATATTCTTCTCTCAAATTCACCTCACACTACCTACCTACCTACGACTATATAGAGGGGACCCCTGCAAGCATAGGGCCTCGCAAACGAGGTAATTCATGTTGCCCCTCGGGGGTTATGGTTTTGAATTATTCCGAAATGTTTTTTGGAAAAAAAAATAAAAAAATTCGAGCACATGGTCGTGATTATGTTTTTTTTTTTTTTTAAAAGCTATATTCTTCTCTCAAATTCACCTCACACTACCTACCTACCTACGACTATATAGAGGGGACCCCTGCAAGCATAGGGCCTCGCAAACGAGGTAATTCATGTTGCCCCTCGGGGGTTATGGTTTTGAATTATTCCGAAATGTTTTTTGGAAAAAAAAATAAAAAAATTCGAGCACATGGTCGTGATTATGTTTTTTTTTTTTTTTAAAAGCTATATTCTTCTCTCAAATTCACCTCACACTACCTACCTACCTACGACTATATAGAGGGGACCCCTGCAAGCATAGGGCCTCGCAAACGAGGTAATTCATGTTGCCCCTCGGGGGTTATGGTTTTGAATTATTCCGAAATGTTTTTTGGAAAAAAAAATAAAAAAATTCGAGCACATGGTCGTGATTATGTTTTTTTTTTTTTTTAAAAGCTATATTCTTCTCTCAAATTCACCTCACACTACCTACCTACCTACGACTATATAGAGGGGACCCCTGCAAGCATAGGGCCTCGCAAACGAGGTAATTCATGTTGCCCCTCGGGGGTTATGGTTTTGAATTATTCCGAAATGTTTTTTGGAAAAAAAAATAAAAAAATTCGAGCACATGGTCGTGATTATGTTTTTTTTTTTTTTTAAAAGCTATATTCTTCTCTCAAATTCACCTCACACTACCTACCTACCTACGACTATATAGAGGGGACCCCTGCAAGCATAGGGCCTCGCAAACGAGGTAATTCATGTTGCCCCTCGGGGGTTATGGTTTTGAATTATTCCGAAATGTTTTTTGGAAAAAAAAATAAAAAAATTCGAGCACATGGTCGTGATTATGTTTTTTTTTTTTTTTAAAAGCTATATTCTTCTCTCAAATTCACCTCACACTACCTACCTACCTACGACTATATAGAGGGGACCCCTGCAAGCATAGGGCCTCGCAAACGAGGTAATTCATGTTGCCCCTCGGGGGTTATGGTTTTGAATTATTCCGAAATGTTTTTTGGAAAAAAAAATAAAAAAATTCGAGCACATGGTCGTGATTATGTTTTTTTTTTTTTTTAAAAGCTATATTCTTCTCTCAAATTCACCTCACACTACCTACCTACCTACGACTATATAGAGGGGACCCCTGCAAGCATAGGGCCTCGCAAACGAGGTAATTCATGTTGCCCCTCGGGGGTTATGGTTTTGAATTATTCCGAAATGTTTTTTGGAAAAAAAAATAAAAAAATTCGAGCACATGGTCGTGATTATGTTTTTTTTTTTTTTTAAAAGCTATATTCTTCTCTCAAATTCACCTCACACTACCTACCTACCTACGACTATATAGAGGGGACCCCTGCAAGCATAGGGCCTCGCAAACGAGGTAATTCATGTTGCCCCTCGGGGGTTATGGTTTTGAATTATTCCGAAATGTTTTTTGGAAAAAAAAATAAAAAAATTCGAGCACATGGTCGTGATTATGTTTTTTTTTTTTTTTAAAAGCTATATTCTTCTCTCAAATTCACCTCACACTACCTACCTACCTACGACTATATAGAGGGGACCCCTGCAAGCATAGGGCCTCGCAAACGAGGTAATTCATGTTGCCCCTCGGGGGTTATGGTTTTGAATTATTCCGAAATGTTTTTTGGAAAAAAAAATAAAAAAATTCGAGCACATGGTCGTGATTATGTTTTTTTTTTTTTTTAAAAGCTATATTCTTCTCTCAAATTCACCTCACACTACCTACCTACCTACGACTATATAGAGGGGACCCCTGCAAGCATAGGGCCTCGCAAACGAGGTAATTCATGTTGCCCCTCGGGGGTTATGGTTTTGAATTATTCCGAAATGTTTTTTGGAAAAAAAAATAAAAAAATTCGAGCACATGGTCGTGATTATGTTTTTTTTTTTTTTTAAAAGCTATATTCTTCTCTCAAATTCACCTCACACTACCTACCTACCTACGACTATATAGAGGGGACCCCTGCAAGCATAGGGCCTCGCAAACGAGGTAATTCATGTTGCCCCTCGGGGGTTATGGTTTTGAATTATTCCGAAATGTTTTTTGGAAAAAAAAATAAAAAAATTCGAGCACATGGTCGTGATTATGTTTTTTTTTTTTTTTAAAAGCTATATTCTTCTCTCAAATTCACCTCACACTACCTACCTACCTACGACTATATAGAGGGGACCCCTGCAAGCATAGGGCCTCGCAAACGAGGTAATTCATGTTGCCCCTCGGGGGTTATGGTTTTGAATTATTCCGAAATGTTTTTTGGAAAAAAAAATAAAAAAATTCGAGCACATGGTCGTGATTATGTTTTTTTTTTTTTTTAAAAGCTATATTCTTCTCTCAAATTCACCTCACACTACCTACCTACCTACGACTATATAGAGGGGACCCCTGCAAGCATAGGGCCTCGCAAACGAGGTAATTCATGTTGCCCCTCGGGGGTTATGGTTTTGAATTATTCCGAAATGTTTTTTGGAAAAAAAAATAAAAAAATTCGAGCACATGGTCGTGATTATGTTTTTTTTTTTTTTTAAAAGCTATATTCTTCTCTCAAATTCACCTCACACTACCTACCTACCTACGACTATATAGAGGGGACCCCTGCAAGCATAGGGCCTCGCAAACGAGGTAATTCATGTTGCCCCTCGGGGGTTATGGTTTTGAATTATTCCGAAATGTTTTTTGGAAAAAAAAATAAAAAAATTCGAGCACATGGTCGTGATTATGTTTTTTTTTTTTTTTAAAAGCTATATTCTTCTCTCAAATTCACCTCACACTACCTACCTACCTACGACTATATAGAGGGGACCCCTGCAAGCATAGGGCCTCGCAAACGAGGTAATTCATGTTGCCCCTCGGGGGTTATGGTTTTGAATTATTCCGAAATGTTTTTTGGAAAAAAAAATAAAAAAATTCGAGCACATGGTCGTGATTATGGCAAACGGATTTTTTTCAGATAAAAAAAGGAAGAGTACAAGCTGAACTTCGGGCGTTTTTTTTTTGTTGTGTAATTCTTTTTTTATGAAACGGATTTTATTTTTGAAAAGAAGACGGGCTGAAGAAACTCAGGTGTTGCTACAGTTGGATGAGTCGTGACGTTTGGATAAGGATTCCGACGACTTTCCCTGGTCTCCC